GGATCATGACCTGAGCCGAAGGCAGTCGCTTAACCAACTGAGCCACCCAGGCGCCCCTCGTCTGTCATCTCTTAACCATTCACTAGAGGAGGTTTATGTTCTCCGCCGTAGGGCAGTGTCATTGAGAATAATAGGTCTTGTTAGGCTGCCTGTGTATGCCCTCCCATGCAGACCGTGGCGCTGGAGCCATGCTGCTGCACCCTCTTACTGGAATAGGTGCTCGGGTGGTCCTTTGTTCCCCACCCTGCAGAGTCAGCCCGTCTTCAAGGCCTTCAGGATTGAGATACAGGGGGCGCTGGAGACCTTTCTTCTTCCCATACTGCGGAACGTAGAACTCTTCTGTGTTTTCATCATCGCTGCTGGCTTTACCGCCTCTGGTTTTCCCTGCCTGCCTTCCTCTCGTCTTCTTAAGTCATCTCTGTGCTGTTGTGAAGCTTACACAGTAATCAAAGAACCAGAACTCTACCCTCTTCCATTTAGATAAACAAAACATTTATTTCCTCATCCTACTTACCTGGCAGAATATCCAGATCTACAGCTCTCTTCCTCTGTTGCAGTGCTTGGAGGCCACTTTTTTAATGCCTGAAGACAGATTTTGTTTTGTTCTCTTTTCTTGATGATTTCTGGGTCTAAGAGGCCTTCTAGAAGGGTTCCTGAGGATTCTGTGAAGTTGGTTTTCTAGATAGTTGAAATCTCAAGTAAAAGATTTAACTTTAATAGCCTGGGGCTTGTTTGATTCTGGGCCATTTAAGTCCTCCAGTAACATTTGTGTTCCTTCCCCTCTTTAGTACGAGTCGGCTTTGCCCTGGGATGACCATAGACCACAAGTGACATGGCGTGGTGATGGCCAGTTTTTTGCTGTGAGTGTTGTTTGCCCAGAGACAGGTATGGAAATAAATTGCAGTTAAAAAAAAAGAAATTTTATTTTATGAAGTTCAAGAAAATTTTCTTCCTTTTGCTTTCTAAAATTATACATATAAGGTGCTGCTTTAGACATTAAATGAATTTAGAGCTAAGGACTGCAAGAATTCTTTGAGGTCATCTGGTCCAGCCTCCTACCTGTTGGGTACAAATTCTTAACAAGATTAATCTACTTCGCAGGTTTTATTAATGAGATGTTTGAATAGTTCTGACTTGACAACATTTTAAGTTTGTCTGTTTATTTTAACTCTGCCTGCTACACAGGAGCCCGGAAGGTCAGAGTATGGAACCGAGAGTTTGCTTTGCAGTCAACCAGTGAGCCTGTGGCCGGACTGGGACCAGCTCTGGCTTGGAAGTGAGTGGGAGAAGAAACCTTGTAACTTCTTCCTCGGGGAGTATCTTGGACCTGGGGTAGGGGTTAGGTGTTTCTATAACACAAAAGGATATTAACTTCTCCTCATTTGGCTATAAGCCTGTATCTTTCTCTTTCTAATTTTTCTGAAGTCTGAATTCAGTTTGAATAGTCAATTCAGAGCTTCTTCACAGATGTCATCATTCCAAGGCCCACACATTTTACAGCTTATAGGGTGGGCCTGTAGGAAGCCGTTGGCTGTGACAGAAAGTGGTGCTTACAAGGGAAGTCATAGTCTACACAGCTCTTTGGGGCAGTGGAGCTTTGGTGAAAACTAGGAAAAGGGCTCTCTTCTCGGCACAAGCCACAAGCTCTTTCGCTAGAGGGTTCTGCTTGCCGAGGAACATGCAGGCTGGATTCAGGCTCAGTTTACCTCGTGTCCCGTGTCTGCAGCTGCCCTGAGTAAAGACCGAAGAAATGTCTCCTGTCTCAGGAGCATCTGTTACATGCCAAACCCCTAGGTCTCTGGGTTTTAGACATCATGTTTCCCAGCAGTATTTGAGTGACAATTGAATGACAGAGCAAAGAGAGGTATTTAAATTAGAGACAAATATGAATAAGATGAGGTAATTGGAATGTTTTAAGTAGATTGAGAAGTCTTAAATACCTACCTGAGTGTGGACTAGTTGCTGAAGTCATATACTTGAAGGAGAAATACACTGTTTTTGTAGGATATTATACTTGGAATAGTTTTAAAAATTTATTGGTTTATTTAAAAGTCACATTGGTGCAGTCTAAATTTGTAAGTCTTTGTGGGCACATGGAGCCTTTGTGCAAATTAGGAAGAGGCACTCTCTCCTTTGGGCAGGTGTAGTCCACATGAGGCTGAAGTGCTTGCCAAGAGACGTGTGGGGTTTAAACCTTCCTGGGTAGAGACTTTTTGTTGGAAGAGTCATTTCTCTGACTTTCCTCTTGTTCTTAGCCAGCTGGCTGCACTTTCGGATGTCCTAACACTCAGGGTTTGCTTTAAGGCCCTCAGGTAGTTTGATTGCATCTACACAAGAGAAACCCAATCAGCAGGATATTGTGTTTTTTGAGAAAAATGGCCTTCTTCATGGACATTTTACGCTTCCTTTCCTCAAAGATGAGGTTAAGGTAAGTGCCTGAGTTGTTTCACCATGAGATTGAGAGGACTTTCCATAGCTGTAGAGGCTTATATCTGATCCGGGCATGTAAAGAGAAGCTCTGGAGTAGACAGTAATAAAAATATTGGGTTCTTATAAATGAATTTTTTTTGAAAGAGAGATTTTTTTTTTTTTAAGGATCTTTTGCAAAGAAGAAATGGCATTCTTTCTTGCCCTAGGTAAAACACAGATAGAAATAGAAATTCTCCTTTGTATTGTTTATCCGGACAAAAGCATAATGCTTCCAATGGTAGATACTTTTCATTAATAACATTTAAACCTTAAGCCACTTGTGTATCATTAGGATTTTTACTGGAGCAGAAACACCAAATGGTAAGCTTTAATTATGTAAACATACACATAATTTAAAATTATGTTACATGTAAATTAAAACTTGAAGCTAAAAGTTGAGAGAAGAGTTTAATGAACGCCCATATCCTTTTTACTCACTTTCAACAGATGCCAACATTTTGTAGAGTTTTCGCCCAATCACCACTTTCTAACCTAAACACATGCACATGGTTTTGTTTCCTGGGGTTTTAATTTTAGAAATTGTATTTTTAATACTCATTTCTAACAGGTAAGGAAATATTTTTCTTTATAATACCACAAATCCATTACCAAACCTTACAAGATTATTAGTAATTCCTTAGTATTATCTAATACTTAGTCCATGTTCAAATTTCCCTGATTGTCTAAAAATGTCAACTTGTAATTTGGTTAAGTCTTAAATTTTTAAGCATAATGCATTTTTTAAACATCTCCTACATATAATGACATATTACCTAGATTTGTTTAATGATTCCGTAAGTTCATAATTTATAGCCTGGGATCAGCTCAAGTAGTGGATTATTTGGTTTATGGGAGTGGGGAACTCAGCTCTTGTAAAGATTTTGAAGTATATACATAGGTAAAAGCCAGTGACACGTCTTTTTTCCTTACTAGGTAAATGGCCTGCTCTGGAATGCAGATTCCACTGTGCTTGCAGTTTGGCTGGAAGACCTTCAGAGGGAAGAAAATTGCACTCTAAAAACCTATGGTAAGACTGCGCTAGTGTCTCAGCCTTATGCCACATAAAATGTAGTTGAAAGTAGTGGGCTGTGAAGTTGCCTTTCTTCCTCTACGTTGTCCTGTAGTACAATCAGAGATAACTAAGGGGATAGGTAGAGATGAGGGAGTGGTTTGGTTTTGATTATTTATGGAGTTTAGTCATGTATCAGTCAGGGTTCTCTAGACAAATAGAATCAGGGCAGGCTGGCAGGTGGGAAATTCAGTTAAGAGTTGATGTTGCAGTCTTGAGTCTTAAATCTGTAAGGACAGGCCTGCAGTCTGGAAACGCAGGCAGGTTCTGTGTTACATTCTTGAGGAATTCCTTCTCCGGGAAACCTCAGTTTTTGCTCTTAAGGCCACAAGCTCTTTGCATGAGACCCACCCACGTTATGGAGGATAATCTTCTGTATTTAAAGTTAAATGATTGTGAAGGGTAATCACATCTACAAAATACCTTCCAGCAATATCTAGACTAGTGTCTGTTTAAGTAGCTGGACCTCATAGCCTAGCCTAGTTGACATAAAACTAACCATCACAAGTTATCAGTGCTTTCTGTGCATGGATGGTGTTACTACGGGAAGTTAAAGTGCTAGACACAGGAAAACTAGCAGTGAAAGAGAAACGGCATTAGCTACAAGTAAGAATCATCTCTATACCTTTTTATTGTAGATCAGATTGTAAATATGTATTTTCCAGTGTATGTGTAGTCTGTGAAAATATTAGGAAGTAAAGGTGAGAAGAAACAAAAGTTTTTCCATAATTCTGTTGCTCAGTAATGAGCACTGTTAAAATTTTCTTGTCTTCCAGATTTTATGTGTATAAAACAGTATGGCTATGATCTCAGTTTTGTTAAGTATGTGATACAGGTAGATTTATAACGTCATAGACATGTTTTCATTTCAGGTACCCATAGGCATCATTTTAAATTGCTATATAATACTCATTTGTGCCACAGCTTATTAAATCTCATGCTGTTAGGCACTTAAAATTTTATAATTTTTCGTATCAATAGCAATGCACTGAACATTTTTGTTAAATCTTTTTACTTGGTTATTTTTTAAGTGGCTTTCAAACTTTTTAATCAATAGAACTTTTTCTTTAATTGAAATGTTATTTAGAAGGTCGTTTATTTATTCATTCATGACACAGTCCTTCTCAACGCTGGCTGTGCCTTTAAGAAAAAAATGCCATCCAGGCCTCATTTCAGAGTTGGATTCAGCGTGTTAGAATGGGGACTATACATCAGTGCTGAATTGAAAAAATAAAAAAGCTCCCAGGTGATTGTTAACGTGCAGCCAGAGGAGCGAACCTCTGATTAGGCAGGGTGGCAGGGGCTGGCACTGTGATATGCTTGGGATAAAAGTGTGGCGCAAGAACAGCCCCATCGTCTGTCCTCACAGAGCAAGTACATGGTCTATCCTAGCAACTTACAGCTAGGTAGAAGTGTTCTAATAAAGGTTGGTTTCAACACGATTAGGTCTTTTTCCCCCAGCTTTATTGAGCTACAACACTACGTAAGCTTAAGATGTACACTGGGATGATTTGATACACGTGTATATTGTGACATGTTTACCACAGTGAAGTTGGTTAACATCCTTCACTTCACATAATTCCCATTTTGGTTAATATGGTGAGAACATTTAAGACCTACTCTCATAGCAACTTTCAAGTGCACCACACAGGTTGTTAACTGTAGTCACCATGCTGTTTATCAGATCCCCGGAACTTGCACTCAAAGTTTGTGCTCCTTGACCAACATCTCCCCCATTTCCCCCCCGCCCCAGGATTAGGTCTTATTCTTTTAACAGGTGTTGGAAGGAACAGTTGCCGATACAGGATAAGTAGTGATTTTCCTTGGAGAGCTGAGTCATGCTTAATACCAGATGGCCTGGGACAGAACTGTAGGGAAAGCTCCTGGGGGAAAAGAATCAGCATCTTAAGCCTAATACAGCATAGTGATGCTAATCTCATGCTCTCGGATTGAGTGTTTTAATACTTTTCATCTAATTGCCTAATTTTCTTCTTTCTAAATCTTTATGAAAAAACAACTCACTAAAGCACTGTTGTCCTAGTAATTTTCAGTCCTCATGATCCTAAAGTTTGAAAGTAGAGACAACCTTAACATGTGTGCTTCTGGCCTTTGTTCATCCCCATGGAAAACTACTTCTTGACTAATATTATTGTTAATATTTTTATTTGGATGAAGAGGTTGAGCAGGAAGGGTCATTTGAAAGAGAAACAATTGCCCCCATCCCCATCCAGCAGATGATGGGAGGTCTGGTCGTCTGGCCTCTGACGGCCCTCCTTGCGTTTCCCCTTGCAGTGCAGCTCTGGACTGTGGGCAACTATCACTGGTATCTCAAGCAGAGTCTGCCCTTCAGCACCTGCGGGAAGAGCAAGCTCGTGTCTCTGATGTGGGACCTGGTGACCCCGTCCCGGCTGCACGTTCTCTGTCAGGGCTGGCATTACCTCTGCTATGACTGGCGCTGGACGACTGACCGGAGCTCGGGAGAGAGTTCCAGTGACCTGGCAAACGTGGCTGTCATTGATGGAAGTAAGGAGCTGGGAAGCGTGTCCGTGAGCCTGTGCCTGCGGATGTGGTGGTTTGACTAAAACTGGGGAATTTTGATTTGTGTGTGCGTTGGTGGTTTCGTTTATTTTTACTTATTTCCTGTTTTGTTTTGAGTGGATGGGGATGCCCTTAGTGGGGCATGTACTCTCCTGAGAACCATAGTCCTTCCTCCTCACCCCTACCCCTGCCCACCCCAATTCCATCCATAGTCTTCACGAATTTACTTGTCTGGCATTTGAAGACGTTGAAAATTTTGACCCCAGGTATGGAAGAAGATAGCAGTGTCTTGTGGTGTTGGGTGTGCTAGCCTTACCTTTTTGCCCTGCCGTAGATTTACATTGACCCTTGCACACCCCCAACTAGGTTGCTTTGCTTTTTGATATAATACTTGTCATTTATATAATCTCTCCAATATGTTCAAGTCACAGACATCTGTCTAGTGTGAGGATTGGTTGGTGTTTTTTGTTTGATGAGGGGGAGGGAATTGGGACAAGAAATAGTCATCTGAAAAGACAGTTTACTTAATGCTGGTAACATAAAGAAAAACTTGTTTCTAATTTTGTTCTGTGTAGTAGTCCTAATACTGATTTTACAATCATATGTTCTGTCCAGAGGACTTAATCAGATATGTCATATTACTAAAAACATGCATAGGGATGTGGTTTAATGATTTTCAAGGGAATCATTCCCTTGGTTCAGTCTGACTTGGTTGCTGGCCTTGGTTTCAAGCTAGAACCCTTGGCCTTGTTGCCCTTGTTCGCAGGAGTTGGACTGCTCTGGGCCTGGAGGTGACAGTAGCCAGATACAGAGCCCTGACACTTAATTTTCCCTGTATATTGTGTTTAAGCTTATTTATAATAAAAAACCACCAAACATTTTTAGGAATTGCTGTATATTTTCTACCCCCATTATTAGTTAGTGGTACTGTGCTGTCAGATGCTTCATTTTACAAATTAAGCATCCAAGTGTCTAATCTCCTCTCTCCCTCTCCTACGCAGACAGGGTATTGGTGACAGTCTTCCGACAGAGTGTGGTTCCACCTCCCATGTGCACCTATCGACTGCTGCTCCCACACCCTGCAAATCAAGTCATGTTCTCTGCACACCCCCAAAAGAGTAATGACCTTGCAGTCCTAGACGCCAGTAACCAGATTTCTGTTTATAAATGTGGTATGTTCAAAAACTTGGTTCAGGATGTTCTGAACCAAGTCCCTCCTGCACAAAATCAAGTGATAGTGTGGTGTTGCCTTAGCTCCAGTGTTTCTAAAAACTTTGAAGTTTGTAATTAATATCATTATCATGATGATATATAATTGATTTGTGGGATTTTTTGGGATGGGAGGGGGTCTAATCCCACTGTGGCTCATAAGAGCAATTCCTTTTGCTTATTAAACTTAAAGTGTCAGTGATTTAAGAATAACATTCACCCTGGAAGTAGCTAGTATTTTTTTTTTTTTAAAGATTTTATTTATCTTTTGACACAGAGAGACACAGCGAGAGAGGAAACACAAGCAGGGGGAGAGGGAGAAGCAGGCTTCCCGCTGAGCCAGGAGCCCGATGCGGGACTTGATCCCAGGACCCTGAGATCATGACCTGAGCTGAAGGCAGACGCTTAACGACTGAGCCACCCAGGCGCCCCAGTAGCATAGTATCTTACTGGGTCTTTAACGTGGTTTACAGTTCTCATTGCCTTTGCACATATTTCCAGTTGATCTCACAGCTTTCCTAGGAGCGGCATCAGATCTGGTGTTTTTCTGTTCTGTAGACGAAGGAAGAGAATGCCAGGGTGTTTGCAGTTTGCTTAAACAAGAGTGGACGAGGATCTCAGCTTAGGTGTTCTAGCTTCTAATCCAGTTGTCCTTCCACCGTCCCATTTCTGTCAGTTGCTGGTTGCTTTCCTGATGTCCAGGAGAAGCTGAAATGTGTTTTTATTTGTGAGTTCTATGAACATGTTGTAAATTATACTGGCACATGATACTGGCAGCCTTGTTTTCAAATCGTCCTGAATTCTCAGCCTGAAAGGCAGACAGATTTAAGAAAGAGGTTGAGATGTGGTTGTTTCTGATTGCTTTATATCTAAAGTGGATTACCTTCTAGAACCCACTAAATGCAGAATTCAGTACCCTTAATATCAGGGAAAATGTGTGTAGTTTACTATGATAGTAACTGCATTTTTGTGTTCTAGGTGATAGTCCAAGTGTGGACCCTACAGTGAAGCTGGGAGCTGTAGGTGGAAATGGATTTAAAGTTTCTCTTAGAACACCTCATCTGGAAAAGAGATACAAGTAGGTTGTTCTTGATTACCTTGGGCCTCCAGGAACAGCATTGAGGCCTAAATTCAGCCAGCTCTTCCTGTTCTGTGCCTGTTGCTGAGTGGGACAAGGAGTAGATGCAGTGCCTAGCCCAGGTTTTTCAGGCTGCTGCGGAAGTCAGTTACCGGTACATCTGAATGCCATGTGCTGGTGGGTGGCCATGGAGCCAGGCTGGTAGCTGGCTTAGAACCCATTTCCTCCAACAGCCCTTGGTTTTCCAGGAAAGACCACGTGGGAAAGGTGGAGATGAGGATGATAGGACCAAGCTGCGTTTGCTTACGTACATGAGGGGGTCTGTGTTGTTCACACATGGCTGACTGAATGCGGTCTCTGTCTTTGTCGCATCCACACTCCACAACTTCAGGTTGCTGCGTTTTGAGTCTCTCAGGTTGGAAATCAGAATGTGTTTTCCCATTGAAAGGATATTATAAACGGTTGGGTATAAATGAGTACCTCAGGCACATGATAAGTATTGTAAAATGACCCTGAAGCTAATTATTAATTCTAATACCATTTCTGTGAGAATCCAGGATTTGATTCTATTCTACTTGATAAGCACATGTTCGTAATTATTGAACTCTGCCTCCTGAGAGCATTTATTTATAAATTAATAGGGACAGTAAACTGACTAAAATAAGTGAATTTCATAAGTAATATGTTTCTTAAATATATGCACTATGTTCAATGAATGTGTATAAGTTTTTAACCTGTGTATGATTTGGGGGCTGTCTGTATAATGCTTAGCCGTTTTCAAAGAACATTTATGTGGGTTATTTCGTTTCACAGAATTGAACCCACTAGAGGACAGACTTAAGGCAAACTAGGAAGCATGAAGCAATTTAGTATATAATTTAATTTTTAAAAAATTGAGAGAAGTATAGCTCTCAGTCATTTAGGAGATTTCATGAAGGACATGAATACCTATCTTGATCTTTGAAGAAGAGATCAGGTTAGGACCGGCAGAGACGGACTGGGAGTGTTGGCTGTGGTTGACAGGACGTGTCAGTGGGAACCAGAGGTGGGAATGCCCCGATGTGGGGAAGAACGCAGTGGAGGGGCTGAGACCAGGGAGAGCTGTTCGAGTAGGAAGATCAGGGTAGTGACACACCTTCTTCAGTGCGTGCGGAGGATTTGCCTCTTAAGCTAAAAGGCAGGAGAAGTAGCCATTGTGGGTTCCTGCCTGAGTTGGCAAAAACGTGCTGTCCCCTGATGTGTTAATGCTACAGGAGGCAGGTGTTAGAGGCCAAAGAAACCGTCTCTGAAGCTAATTAGTCATTTTAATGTGAAATGCTTAAAAATGACCCACTCTGCCAAGACCCACATATCTGCTGGAGTCTGGTTTGAATGCTGATAAGTGGTGACAGTGGAAAACCTCTGGGGTTTGTTACTGTAGGGCCTGGGGCAAGTGATTTTCTTGTGTAGTCAGTTTCCTGAAGTGTTCTCTTCAAATCTAAAGATCTCAGAATATAAGAAACCTAAATATTAAATAGAAGAACATTCTGGCATTACCTCAGGTTTTGTCCCTCCAAATAATTAGGAACTGACTCTATACAAGGTGGTTCATTCTTCATTTAAGAAAATCTCAGTGATATTAGGGCTTTATTCATGTCTTGGATATTCTTCAATATTTAAAACAGAATTCAGTTTGAGAATGGTGAAGGTCAAGAAGTAAACCCACTGAAGCTCAGCCTTCTCACCTGGATTCAGGAAGACGTTTTCCTGGCTGTAAGTCACAGTCACTCCAGCGCACAGTCTGTCATTCACCATCTGACTGTGGCCCCTTCTGAGACGGATGACGAGCACGGACAGCTCAATATTAGGTATTGCGACGCTTCCCTGCATTCCGTGTGCTCATAAGCCGATTGAATTACACTTTTGTCTTTTCTGGGTATAGGACTCTTTTGACTTCTACTGAGCAAGGTTGAGGGCAGTAGCTGCTTTGTTAAACACACTTAGCAAGAGCGTTAAGTGTAGTTTTGAGTCACGTCAAAATACAGACCTAAAAATGCATCAAGAGGTGGTGGAACATAGGACAAATACTAATAGATGGGGCAAAACATTTTGAAGATGTGTTACAATTTTTAATTCAGCATATACTTACATTCCAGCAGGGTAATTGTTAGCCCAAGAGAATTAGCCACTGTGGTCACCCTTGTTAGTTACTAAAATCAATGATAAGGTCTGTGTACATGCATTTCATTGGATGTGGTGACTTCAAAATGCTGCTTTTGGCTTCTCTTTGTTCTGTTTGGCGCTTGACTACATGTACTACTAGACAGTCGTCTCTGTTTCTCTTTGCTAAAATTTCACTGCTCCCTGGCCCTGAGTTTTGCTTTGATTCCGGACTGCATGTTTGTCACAGGTGTCAGATAATGGATGCGGTTTTCTGTAGTGTCTCTACCTCAAGCCCCGTTGTGCAGTAGATGGCATTGCGTGGACAGCTCTGAGAAGTCCTCAGACTTCCGATGTCAAAACTTGGCACATTAAACATAAGCTGATATTAATCCTCACACTCATTTGTAGTTAAGGGTTTCCTCGTTAGATTTCAATTCTGAAAACCCTTGCTGCAAAATTAGGAACTTTTCTTCATGGTATACACAAAACATATTCTAGTGTAGTTGTTAACTCCTAATCTTTGACTCATAGTGCTTCATGTTTTTACAAAGCTTTTGTGAATATCCAGATGGTTACAGGAGATGTTCTAGCTATATGCAACACTCAGTTAACCAGGAGCTTACTTTTAAAAAGTAGAGCGAATGGAGGGGTGAAGATGGGTGAAACAGGTGATGGGGATTAAAGAGTGTACTTGTCATGATGAGCCCCGGCTGATGTCTGGAAGTTCTGAATCACTCTGTTATACACCTGAAACTAATACAACACTGATACCTACACTAGAAATAAAATAAAAACTTAATTAAAAAAATAATAAAAAGCAGAGCAATTTACATTAGAAATACCTAAATTGTACACATTTCTGCTTCTCCGAATTTGAAATTCTTTACCATCAGCTTGCAGGAAAAAAGGCTAGATCATCTCACTTGCTGTAAAGGAAATGAGAAGTCATTTAAAATACATTTCTGCTTTGACTTTTGTTTCTCAAAAAAAGGCTGTTTTGTTCATATAAAATATTAATGTCTTTAGGGAATATAAAGTCCCTCAGTCAGCTTATAGCTTTTAATACCTTACATTTATAACAGCTTAAGTTTTGTAAAAGGTACTCTTTTCAATGCTTTCTCTATGGTAACTCACTTCTTTCTCACGCTGCCTCTTTGAAGTATGTATTATTAGCGTTCTTGTGTTCTAGCTGAGACCACTAAGGCACAGAGCGGTTCAGTAACTTGCCTGGCATCATGCAGGTAGAGCCTCGATCCAGTCCCAGCCAGTCTCACTCTGGAGTCTGTTCTCTTAACCTATTCGCAGATCATTTATCCTCACAAAATTTGGGGCATTTTGAGTTTTTTGTGTATTGGCTAAAAACTCTTTGAATAAATACTAGCATTGGCAACATTTGCTTTTATTGCTACCTCTTCCACTTCTTTTAAGACACGTCTACTCTCTTCATTGACCCAGGAAAAAATATGACAGTAACAGATTCCCCTCTTCTCAATTAATGAAGACCCACAGATTTCCATGAATGAATATGATAGCAGTAAGAGATACTGAGTATGCTCATTTTCCTGCAGACTCACTGCTTTATTTACTGCAGTATATATTTTAAGGAGACAGAAATGATACCATGCATGTCTAAGGAAGGCAATAAGTTGTTATAAGTTGTATTAAGTTGCTGCCAGAATGCGAGTGATGACCTCACAGCTTAGACACCTAGCTTATTGGCATTATGGAAAACATTGTCATGTGACAGATCGTTACTTTGGCCTTCTGCTGGAAATATTTATCAGTGTGTATATGTGTGTGTGTGTGCATGTGTATGTATGTAGTATGTATATATTGTATTGAAATAGGCAGTGTAGCCCAAAGGGAAATTGTTTATTTCTTTACCTGTTTCTGCAAAATCAGTGAAATGCTACTACTTTTCTTTTTTTAATTTTGTCAGTTCATCTGTGATAGTGGATGGAGTCATAATCAGTCTGTGTTGCAATTCCAAGACCAAGTCAGTAGCATTGCAGCTGGCTGGTGGCCAGATACTTAAGTACTTTTGGGGTGAGTATCAGAATTTTCGGAAAACATGTTTATGACTTACATAAATGTTTAATTCTTGAGGATGTGTACTTAAGAGTTTCTTGTCAATGCTACATTGACAGTTAGGTCTTTTAACTGTCCTGGAAAACCCTAAGCTGTAGAGTGGAATTGGCAGGTGTATTCTGTAATGGACCAGAGTGTTTTAATGAGTTTCCAAAATATATTTGGAAAGTGATCCCAATTGCATGTTAAGTGTCTCAGCAAGTCTTGATGTGACAGTGTTTTACAGTGAGCATACCAGCTTTTTGTAAACCTCATCTGCCAATCCTGCAGAGTCACCCTCTCTGGCTGTTGAACCATGGAAGAACCCCAGTGGATTTCCTGTTCGGTTTCCTTATGCATGCACACAGACTGAATTGGCCATGATTGGAGGAGAGGTAAGTGAACAGGAAACTTTACACTTAGAACAGTGGCCCAGGAATTGCTGGCATTAGGTAAAAAAATATGGGCTTTGGAGGTAGACTTGAGTCTCCACTTAATCTCAGGGCAACAGTGAGAAATTTCGGAGCCTCAGTTCTTCATCTATGAAGTGGGATTAAGAGATTGTCCGGCATGTATGTAGTAGTTAGTTGATTCCTTTCCTTGGAGGTATAAATTAAAAGATAGAAAAATGCAGTTAGCAGACTTTTAGTCCATGTTGTACAGATCATCAGTTTTATTTAAATGCCATTTGGGGACAGCAAAAATGTAATCTCAAAAATAGTGTTCAGGAGGTTGCCATTCATCAAATATTGGAATGTCTGTAATTGTGGTGGGTGGTAGGATACAGCAGTTACAGAACAAAAGAGCTGACTAATCCCTGCTCTTAATATAGATATGATGATCCCCTCTGATAGAATGAAGGAAATGAACAGGGTGTGGTGGAAGAGTGTTGAGGTGTTTGGCTACTGAGAGGATGGTAGCTATGAGGATGGGTGTCTGTATTCAGTCTTGACATGGACTTAGATATGAAACCACAGGGCAGTAGAACTATGTGATAGAAAAATTAGGTTTGACCAGTTTGGTTAGAATGGTTTGTAATTTCAGTTTTGTTTCTTTGCAGGAATGTGTCCTTGGTCTGAGCGACAGGTGTCGTTTTTTCATCAATGACACTGAGGTAACAAGGCTTGTTTTGGGCAGGATACTTTTCAGTGTTGCCTCCAAGTAATAAAGCTAACTTTCCCCTTTGCCTTGTTGTAGGTTGCTTCGAATATTACATCATTTGCAGTATATGGTGAATTTTTGTTGTTGACAACCCATTCCCATACCTGCCAGTGTTTTTGCTTGAGAGATGCTTCATTGAACAGTAAGTGTTCAGTATAGTAGAAAATAGTCCCTCTTCTATTATCTTTTGTCCTTTGAAGTCTTGATGACTTTAAAGTTCACCACCTCCTTTGGCTTTTTATCATAGAGTCCTAGATATAGCTTCTCAACTGATTCAGAAAACACAGGGAGGATGCAGTGTCTCTACTTATTAGCACTATCAGTACAGTATAATCACATCAGTGAAAGATTCCCAGTTTCCACGTTAGAAGCAAAGATAGTAACTAGAGTTTTCTAGAATAAGGAAAAGTCCAAGACTTTTCCTTTCTTTTAGGGGTGCCTGGGTGGCTCAGTC